ATATAAGCACACTCAGCCTCTATATGTCTGACCTCCAATCCAGAATGTTCATCTTCTATTGCTAAAACTCTCACTTCAGTCTTACAGGAAACACCTCCCAACCTCCATCACTTCCCTCCTCTTGGTTGTCAGATTCTCCATGTAAAGGGTGGAACCTGAGGCTCAAGAATTGCTTAACTAAAAAACACTATCTCCCAAACAATTTAAACTCAGAAAGATAGAGATAGAGATAGACAGGCAGACAGACGCATAGATTAGGTTTTCAGATTCTGCTCTTTCTCTGTAGGAGAGGTCAGCGTGCCATGACTACCAACTTGGTCTAGAACCCACAGCAGCCATAGTTACCAAGACCACAGCAATAGATCTGTGTTTATGAAGCATTGCCGTGTGCCCAGCACTGCGCTAAACTCTTTGTGTGCCTCCTCTCATCATCCCACATTAGGTAGATAGGTACGATTATGTGGGACTCAAAAGCAACGAAATAATAAAACTGGTTTTTCCCCCTTAAAAACTATATGTGTGCCTCAGCTGAAGAAACAACAAACAAAAGTATGCACATAAAAATCCTTATTTTCTGTACAGCTTCAGATTTTTATATGTTTTATGCGAATTTAGTCTCATCAAATAGGATCTATTTTTCATTCCTTTTATGAACCTCTGGTGGGTAAAAATGCTAAAATCACCTATATAATTGGTTGCATTGGTAGTTAAATGGAACCTAATTTGTAGCACGGGCATTTAACAAATACAGATAATTTATTCATTAGAGTTAGCCTTTGGGGGAAACTTCAACTTATAAAAATACATTTTAGTGAGATTATAGCAGAGGGATTTTACTTTAATATATCCTAATTCTAAAATGGTTGTCAGGGGTGTTTTTTGGTTATATTTATTAGGTTATAGAAAAACAGGACTAGCAAGTTTAGTAAGTGGCTATCTTTGGCGTTTGTTCATTTTTAACTTTTTTGATTATCCATTAGGAAACAATTGTTTTTCTAGGTGTGTAAACTTTTGAATATGTTTATAGTCTCTTACCTGTAAAAATTGACCAGAGTGAACCATGCCTGGCACGCAATAGTGATTCAATAATTATTTGTTGAGGTAAGAGACAGTATTGTGTGGTCTGTGAAATAACAAAAGTTCAGGAGCAGCAGCGTTGGTGATTCTAGTCACCTCTATTTTGTTATAGGATAACTGATTTTCTCTGAGTTTTACACCAAAATTCCTCCTTCTTTCAATACAGCTTAATTCTTTCTTAGTGTTTTGTTCATGATCATTTTCCAAAACTTCCTAATGTACATAGTGTCTCATTTTCTGTCTGTTCTTAAACCTAATATTTTGGAGTTTAATCCATCAAACCTTTATTGTTAACCTACTATGTGTTTTTTGTTACACCTAGGAGCAAAGATGAGAAAACCTGTTATTCATATAATTTGTATTTGCGTAGAATAACTGATGTAAACCAACATCATAGTATAGTAACAGTTTAACATATGAGCTAATGTATGCATACAACAGGAGCCCAGATAAATAATTTTTAATTTTAATTTTACAGCTTTTAATTTTATAAAAAGGAAGCTTCTTATAAACTGCCCCAAACCCCAGGTTTTTTATGTACTCCTAATTGAGTGGAGGGATGGCCCGTCAAAATGTCCCACGGAAGACATATAATGTCAGAAGTTACCAAGTGACTCTCATATGCTTTGCCTCCCCTATCCTCCCCACTCCTCAGTTGGGAACTCCTGGTGGATAGGAAATGAACATAGTACATCTATCCCTCCTGATTCCCTGGGATTGACTCCAGGACCCACTCAGATACCAAAATTTCTAGATGCGCAAGTCTCTGATATAAAATGGTATAGTATTTGCATATAACCTACACACATCCTCCTGTATACTTTAGATCATCTCTAGATGACTTACAATATCTAATACAGTGTGAACGTTGTATAAATAGTTCTTGTGGCTAGGTGCCGTGGCTCATACCTGTAATTCCAGCTCTTTGGGAGGTGAAGGCAGGAAGATCCCTTGAACCCAGGAGTTCGAGACCAGCTGAGCAACATGGTGAAACCCTGTCTCTACAAAAAATTAAAAATTAGCCAGGCATGGTGTCACATACCTATAGTCCTAGCTACTCGGGAGGCTGAGATGCGAGGATTGATTGAGTCCAGGAGGTTGAGGCTGCAGTGAGCCATGATGTGACACTGTACTCCAGCCTGGGCAACAGAATGAGACCCTGTCTCAAAAAAAAAAAAAAAGTTGTCATACTTTATTTTTTAAATTTGTCTTTTTTTTTTTTATCATTGTTTTATTTATTTATTTTAGAGATGGAGTCTTTCTGTGTCACCCAGGCTGGAGTGTAGTGGCTCTGTCACAACTCACTGAAGCCTCAAACTCCAGAGCTCAAGGGATCCTCCCACATCAGCCTCCTAAGTAGCTGGGATTACAGGTGCACACCACCATGCTCAGCTAATTATTTTTATTTTTATTTTTGTGGAGATGGGGTCTCTCTCTGCTGCCCAGGCTGCTCTGCTCTCAAATTCCTGGCCTCAGGCAAGCCTTTCATTTTGGCCTCCCAAAGTGCTGGGCTTAAGCCACTGTGCCCAGCCCATATTATTTTTTATTGGTTCTTTTTTCCAAATGTTTTCAATCCACAGTTGGTTGAGTCTGCAGATGTGGAATCTGCGGTTATGGAGGGCCAACTGCATAAGAAATTCTAACTGAGCGAAGTGGTCAGGAGGTTCACAGAGGATTTTGAAGGAATATGCTATCTGGAGTTTTCATTTTATTTCAAAATATAGTAGACAAGGACTTAATATGTGCCAGAAATTGTACTAAGTGCTAAAGATACAATAATGAACAAGATTCCTGCCTTTGTGGAGATTATATGGCAAGGGAGGAAAGAAAACATTATAGATTAATTCCTGTGATCAGTGCTGTGAAATGAGGTCATATCCTGAGGGACCCAACAAGCCTAGCGACAGGAGTTGGGGTCACCAGTAGATAAGAATATGAACAACCATCATCCCCAGTGGAACAACACAAAGAAAATGGGGAAGAGTGGGTAGGGAAACAATTTTTTATCGAAACCTCCCAATTTAAAGGTTTCTATATGAAGGGGCCATGTACCAAGGATATATTTACTAAAAGTATCTAAATATAGGCTAATTTAATTTAAAGGAATCCCAACTGAGAGGTAAGATTTTCTTCCTCTCTGACTCCCAACTCTGGTCTCTAAGGAGGCCCCTAAAAAACAATAGTTGTATTAGTGATAAAGTTTATTTAGGGTCAACTGAAATGAATTTGTGAATTTGAAACTCAAGGGTATGTGTCACTTTCTTCTTGCGAAAATCCAAGGTAATATTCACTGAGTACTCAAATGGGAACATTGTCATGTGCTGTCATGTCTCATGGTAGAAATGCTACTCTTAGCATAATAACATATAAAAGAACCATGTCTGGCTGGGCGTAGTGGTTCACCCCTGTAATCCCAGCACTTTGGGAGACTGAGGTGGGCAGATCACTTGAGGTCAGGAGTTTGAAACTAACCTGGACAACACGGTGAACCCCTACCTCTACTAAAAATATAAAAATTAGCAGGGCTAATAAAAATTAGAACCATCTCTTTGTTCTGGGATTCAGCAACGTTTTTTGTTTTTTGGTTTTTGGTTTTTTTTTTGGAGGCAGAGTTTTGCTCTGTCACCCAGCCTGGAGTGCAGTGGCGCAATCTTGGCTCACTACAACCTCCACCTCCTGGATTCAGGATTCTTCTGCCTCAGCCTCCCAAGTAGTTGGGATTACAGGTGCATACCACCACACCAGGCTAACTTTTGTATTTTTAGTAGAGATAGGTTTTACCACATTGGCCAGGCTAGTCTCAACTTCTGACCTCAGGTGATCTGCCCATCGCGGCCTCCCAAAGTGCTGGGATTACAGGCTTGAGCCACTGCACCTGGCCTCAGCAACCACTGACTGAGCACCACTGACTGCTAGGGACATAAACGAATATGACAGTCTCTGTGCTCAAAGAGCATATAATCTAGGGAAGCCAACCACCATAAAAACACACAGCTGTGATACAACGTGGTAAGTATAAGAGCAGAACTGTGTACCAGAGATGATGGCCAGGTGCTCTTATTATGGGAAACACAGAGCCCAAAGTGTGCCCCCAAAGAAACATGATTCAAAATAATATTTTGTTGAACATATTGGTAAGAAGGAAAAAAACATATCTGAGATGAAAAGTTATAGATTATTTTTTCTCCAAACTAGTCCCCACTAACCCCTCTTATGTGTTCCTCATTGCTTTTCTTTCTTTCATCATCTTTCACACTTCCTCACCCCACAGGCAGGCAGATGGTAAGGATATTGTCTTTTTGACAAACATTATTAAGTGGTAACTGTGGAGAGCTGGAGGATAACTATGGCTTCTCTCTTACATGTAAACATGCTCTCTGGGCTAGTAAGATGTAATAAAGCACCATCCATATTTCTTTTTAACCGGGACAAACAGATCGTACAAACTCCCTGAGAACAAATCCTCTGTCTGTACAACTTTGAATTCTGCACAGCTCCTTACTTTAATTTATGAAACGTGTTGATCCTTCTGGTGCCTGACCTTAGATCAAGTGCTGGGGATACAAAGAAAGTGACCCTGAAATTGGGTATTGAGGCATGAGTAGGAGTTGGTTCTCAATTATTTTACGTCCCAGTCTACATACTTTCCTCCCTTTGCGAAACTCTTGAGAATTCTTTTGCTTTCTCAGCAAGATTATGCATTAACTTTTAAAAATTAAAGTGAACAGTTTAATTTTTGCTGATGGTCTGTGCTACTTTTGTGAAATAAAAACATGATCAAAGTGGTAGACGGAAACCAGAACTCGAGAGCGGTGGAGGAGGAGGAGTTTCTACTGTGTGGGAACAAGGGCTGGGAGAGCACAGTGTATGTTTGGAGCAGTAGTGATCCAATGATTCATCCTGTCATTCCTCTTCCTCTATAGCCATCAGGTTTGGGCGGATGCCACAGGCCGAGAAGGAGAAGCTGTTGGCGGAGATCTCCAGTGATATCGACCAGCTGAACCCAGAGTCTGCTGACCTCCGGGCCCTGGCAAAACATTTGTATGACTCATACATAAAGTCCTTCCCGCTGACCAAAGCAAAGGCGAGGGCGATCTTGACAGGAAAGACAACAGACAAATCAGTTAGTTCTCTTCTGCTGTCTTCATTGGGGGAGATGGGGAGTTGCTTTGGTTTTTTTTTTCTTTGGGCAAATGGTTTACTGCACAAAAATGCACATGCAGAATATTGTTCAACTGTTGGCTGTTAACATATTACAGGCTGAGTCTGAAATGCAGGAAGTATTTTCAGATAGCATAAGTAAACATTATTTTGAAGAGGGAGAAAGTCCTCCGAGTTCTAATAAAGTCTTGGAGAATAGTGTAAGAATGTATTCGTCATCCTAACTTTAGTGAATGAACTTAAGCCCCCTCAGCCTGTCACCCTTTTTTAGGATCCATCTCTTTTCTCAGTATCAAAATAACTGGCCACAGCAATATTCATTCAAGCAGCCTTGCTTTTCTCTGGTAAAAGCCCAACCTAGGTTTAGAAAAGATATTCAGTCCCACTATTTCACCTTTCAGGAGAACTACCAGAGTTACCTCTTATGAAGTTCAACATGGGGCATAAAAATAGATTCTAGATATTATGTTACCTTTCTTTCCTATAGCATTCTATTGATTATTCTGGGGCAACTGGAAGCTCTATCCTTTTATTACATATGTGAATTTTATCTTCTGCAAGGCTCTGAGCTGCCTGGGCCATGACTTTGCAACATCTGTTCACTCATTGAGCAGCACCATTTAGAAAACCCAGGATGGGTTGTAATTGTTACTGAGTTATGTTTTCTAAGCAGTAGAGCCCTTTCCTGACTGGAAACTGAGAAAACAACATGGAATTATGTTAGAACAAAATTGTACGTGAATTCTAGTCCCAGCTCTGCCATCAGCTTGGACTGTGGCCTGGATCATGTCTGTGTACCTCAGTTTTGTTTGTTTGTTTGTTTGAGATGGAATCTCCCTCTGTCACCCAGGCTGGAGTGCAGTGGTGCGATCTTGGCTCACTGCAACCTCTGCCTCCCAAGTAGCTGGGATTACAGGCGCGCGCCACCAAACCCAGCTAATTATTTTGCATTTTTAATAGAGATGGGGTTTCACCGTATTAGCCAAAATGGTCTCGATCTCCTGACTTTGTGATGTACCCCCCTCAGTCTCCCAAAATGCTGGGATTACAGGCGTGAGCCACCATGCCTGGCCTGTACCTCAGTTTTTAACGGCAGGGTCTGGTTTTGATTCTGATGTCTGCATGATGCTCCTAGGGCAGTAAGAACTGCAGAACACATTCAGAAGACACTGTCCTAGCCATGGAAAGCCCTTGTATGCAGTCATTTATTTTCACATGAACACTTCCCAGAGCGCTATGCAGTTACTTGATAGATATGTTTAACTTTTCCCCATTAAGATATATTGTTGGGAAAACCTCATTACCCTTTCATGCATTTTGATGACTATCTCAAGATGGTAGTTCTTCTGTTTAGCTATACCATTTAGTGGGAGTAGAATCGGTTAATAGGAAAAAAAAAAAACTTATGGCATAGAGTCATAGACTGATAAGGACAATGAGTTTTCTGATTTGCAAAGGGGTCTTTGATATCTCAATAATAATATACCTAGATGTGATTCTTTACAGTATAAAAAAAACCTTGCACATTTATTAGATTCGAGCCACATGGCCACCTGACCACTGCTATTATTATCCTCTTTATTTTAGAGATGAGGAAAATAAAGTCCAGAGAGGTTAAACGTTTTGCCCTAAGATCTCACAGCAAGTATGTGGAAGACCTGGGACTCTAATGCAGGTTTTCTGACCTCTAGTTCAGAGCATTGGTAGCATGCTATCCCCTCAGCACCACAGTACTTGAGGAAACTAGTCGTTCCAACTTGCTGGCCGTGAGAAGACTTCGCCCTGAGAAAACTTTCTGAGTATGATTTTTTTTCCTCAATTTTTAGAGCAGTAGGAATTCTTCACCTCATCTGCTACCCCAAGATTTTAACAATTGGAAAATTTTTGTGCTGTTTTGATTCTTTTCAAATTACAAAAGTCCTTGACTAGCACTACTGGCTTTTACATGCACAGGACTGCATTACACTCATGATCATAAAGCTCATTCGTTCAATGAGAAACTTGGCCATAGCAAATCAAAATAAATGAAGACCTCTGCGTAGCTGATTGGACTACGGGAAATAAGCCATTCATGCCCAGGAAGAAAAAATAAAAGGATTGCTGAAAAGGAAAGAGCCCTGAAGCAAACTATTTACAGTTTTGGTTAGGTTTTTTTTCTTGTTTTTATTTATTTATTTATTTATTTTTGAAATGGGGTCTTGCTCTGTTTCCCAAGCTGGAATATCTTGTTATATTGCCCAGGCTGGCCCTGACTCCTGGGTTCAAGCAATCCTCCCAAAGAGCTGGTATTACAGGTGTAAGCCACCAGCCATGGTTAGTTTTCATCAACTGCTTTCTTACCTTCTTTTCATCCTCCAATCCATACCTGCAATCCTTATTAGAAATCCTGTAAACTTAATAGTACCAGAAAGTCAGGCAAAAGACACACACACAAAAAAGCCTCAGTGGTCAAGAACTTAAAAGTACAATACTGGTGTCCAACCTGCTCTTATCTGTGTTACTGGAGGACGCACTCAAGATACCTCACTCCAGTTGACTCTGTGGCTCTAAATCTTTGAGTTAAAAAATAAAATACATGGAGGTTCTTTATGGAATAAGTAGGAATTAAGCTATTTAAAAGAAAGGGCTGCAAAATACTTGATTATGGGCTCTTCAAGTTCAGAGGCCAAGCATTTGTCATTTTCTTCCCTATAGTAGCTAGGACTGTCTCTTGCCCCTAAATAGTTACTCAGACTGTATTTGCTTAATTGAATTAAACACGGTTGCCTATGCCCTTTGAAATTCTGGACTTTCAACAGAGGGCTTCTGGCCCAATGTTTACTTACCAAACTGGACATCATTGATGATCTGGATTCAGGCAGAATTGCCTCTAGTTAGGATCTGGAAAAAGAGAGACTGGGCCAAATTAAAAGAATCCATTCACTGATGACATAAAACTGAACTACAATTGTTTGGCACCCTCTTTTCTCCTTATCTTGCAAAATCAAATTAAGCGCTAGTGGAAAGAAACAGTTCAGAGAGAAATATGGGAAATAACAAAATCCAAAATGTGATTTCCAATGAGACTAGGGATTTGTTCTCTATCTACATGGTCATGCTATTCATTTGATAGCATCTATCTCAGGGGTGTTATGTTATCTCTTGGCCAGGACTCATGAAAGTTAAGATTTGCATTGATAGGAAAAGTTTTACAGAAATGTGGACTCTGGAGAGGGTGGGAGGTATACAAAAGTGGCTGTGGCTGTGCAGCAGAGCAATTTGAGTTTCTTATACAGCCTGCTTGAGACTGATGTCATTAGTGTTAGTTAGGCCAAGGCTGGGGGAGGCTACTCAGAATAGTGGGCGACAAGCTACCCAGAACCTTTGGAAAAGGAAATGAGTTGATTGAAGAGGCCATTCTTTAAATGTATCTTACTGCTGCATTTCACCTTTGTCTATTGTAGAATGCTCCCTGCCCTCTCAGCATTTGCCTCCAGGCAGACCAGGACATCTTCCTTTCCCCAACCAAACTTCCTCCTCCTGTATCTTACTCCCTAGGGCCACTTGCACCTTTCAAAATGGATACATTAAATGCTTTTGCTCCCCTTCTACCAACTTTTCATTGTTTTGCCTAAATAAGAGTTTGCTTGGGAATTTTAGGCTCAGGGCCAGGAAAAGATGGGATATGGAATAATCAGGTACAGATTGCCAGACAGGAAATTTTAGGAGCAATAGACCTTTTTAGCCACCCTCAGTGGGATGGAACTGACTCCCCACTACCTATTTCCCTTTCAGTGGCTTGCTCCAGCCACAGCCCCTTCTTTAAGAGATCTTTCTACACTCTGAAAACCATGTGCATGCCAGAACTAGGTGCTATGTTACGTGAAGGCAGTTTGATAACTGAATGGACTTTGGAAGTGCCCGGTGTTTGACGATTACCCTGGTGCGATGATCACACTGGGTGTATCACTGTCACATGATCCCATGTTTGTTGATGAAAATAAACAGAGAGTGGTTTTCAAAAACTATTTTCAGTGCCATAGTTTGTCATAAAACAATAAATAGAAAAACGCTTGGTGTGCCTGCCAACTTTTCACACCCTATCTAAGAGATGGTGAAGCTCTGACTGCACTCTATCTGCAAATAAGGAATAAAACTTTTTGTTTGTGCTGTATTGGACTTTGGGTTCCAAAGCGTGACATTGTTTGTGGTAGGTACATGTGGAGTCACTGTTTTTATAATTATAAGAGCAAACTGGTGCCATTGGAAAAATGGTCATTCTAAATAGTGTGTGAAATATGAAACTAGTGAAGAATAAAATCAATATGGAAATGTAAACTTTTATGAAAACATTTCCTTACCCATTTAAGTTTGTGAGTTCTCAAATTTACAATGGCTATCAAACCCAGTGACTCAAAGCTATTGGAAAGATATCTGTCCTTTTAAATCCTACACTTACAGCTAAACAACCTATGGGCTTTTCCCTTTATCTCTGGAAAAGACTGAGTGAGCTGGAATTTGCTCCCCAAAGGAAAGGTATCAGGCAGAATCCTCAGAGAAAGAGTCTTAGGGACCCCAGTAGAAATAAAATCAGGATAGTAGTGCCAATTCATTTCCAGGGCTGCTGGAGAAGTTAGGCTTCTGAGATCATTCATCCATGTATCAATGTTAATAAAATAAATTCTTCTATTGCCAGGAGTGTCAGGAATAGCTAAAGATATAAAAGATCTGAACCAGTCTGTTCTTTCAGAGAATAAGTTAAAAATAATATTTTCTGGAGTCAAAAAGAAAAGCACTTGGATTTTTTTTCCTAATGGCTGGACTCAGTTGGCCAATACCCTCATTTGCCCTCTGAGTAACTCTTTGGCTGGCAATTGATTTTTTTTTAAGAGCTGTGGTTATGTACTAGGTCATTAGAGTGTGAATAAGTCTTCGTATTAAGTTTTCATTTGTTTGTCTTAAATCTCTAAACCATGCAGGAAA